CATCTTAGGGGCGCAGCATTTTGACACCACTCCTCTCCCACTACACTACCTTTCGTCCGCCTCCGCTTGCTCTCAAGTTTGAAGGAAGTCTCGCAGAAGCTTCGTTTTTCAGCTTTCAACTTCCAAATTTCAAGGACGTCTCGCAGAATAGCTTCGGTCTCAAGCTCGCAGATAGACAGATAGACAGATAGAGGGATAGATAGACAGTTAGACAGATAGACAGATAGTCTGATAGATACGTAGATAGACAGATAGATAGGTAGATACATAGATGGATGCATAGACAGGTAGACAGGTAAACAGGTAGACAGATAGACAGACAGATAGATAGATAACTAGACAGATAGATAGAAAGACAGACAGATAGATAGATAGAAACCTTTCCATCCATCAGTGGATTCGCCCTGCCATCCATGCATCAGAACAACTCACCTCTCCTATAGTTTCCTATTTTCGAAACTTCCGCCACCGCCTTGCGCGGTACTACTGGTAAAAACACTCCACGCTCGGACCACTTTGGCTGTTCAATCGTCATTTTGCGTGGCAGGCGCAAAGGAATCTTGGGAGAGTCAGGGCGCGGATTTGCTGAGAGAGGTTGCATTTTGGAGCATCAGATCTTCAGGTTTGCTAAGATGGTTTTGCGAGACATGTGCAGCACTTCGTGCGACTTGGCTTCACTTTGTTGTGGCAGGCGCAATACTTTAGAAGCATGGGATGGAAAAATTGAAAAACGCGTTGGTACGAGGCCATCAGGTTTGCATTCAACTTTCGAAGGAAGTCTCGCAGAATTGCTTCCTTTTTGACGATTTTGACGTTGCCAATGTAAAAAACAAGAATAAGTCTCGCAGGGTTCTTGTTTTGTTTTTGGTTCTGTATCCCGTCCGCTCCTCCTCCTCCTCCTCCACCCGTGCTGTCACACACACTTGCTCAGAAATATCTTATCGAATTACTGATGTGGAATGCATCACACGTGCAAAAAACACCTCAGTTATACTTGACAGGAACGGTTTGATGATTAGAAGTGAGAAACTGTGCGAAGGAAAACTTTCTACGTCCTTGATGCAGCTCAGTCAGATTGCGAAAACCGTACAGGTGAAGACATGAAACTGAAAGGTTTGGTATTGGTTTGAAGCGTGATGAAAAAAGAAATTCGACTGGGAGGTTCTTGGGTTGAGCCTCTTCCCATCACTGAAAAATGGCAGGTACGTCACGGTGATCAGCCGTGATATCCGCATGTACTGTGGCCGCTTCGTTGGACCATCGCACACGGTACATGGATGGTCCCCCTGCTGTTGTTTGAAAATCAAATGAAAAACCCAAAAAACGACGTCAAATTGGAAGACCATTGAAGCAAATCATCAAGTTAGAAGTTTTACATCTTTTCAGATGTTCCACACACACGCCTCGCTGCCGCGAGGCTTTTTTTTGACGATGTCGAGAAAGTTATCGAAGCTCTTATCTAGGCCCTGACGCAGGAAATAGCGATTAACGCAACATCAAAACACAGGGAGGAAATCTGCATTTGAATTATCCGGAAGCTCAGTACGACATCGGCAGGAAGTTCGGGTGTTTTCAATCATCATCAATGTCCGACAACGCTTCCATGGCCGCCGTCTGCTGAGAAAGAATTTGAGTCGTCACAGCCAAGTGGCTAGCAAGGTGAGCCAAGTCTGCTGCCGAGAAGACCTGGACCGGATTTGTGCTCAAGTCATCTCCCGGGCTTTCAAGCTTCTCAAGGATCGCAGCATTGGATTCCCTGTCATTGTTGAGAATGTCCCAGAGGACCGAAGCCAGTTGGTGGATCTGACTTGGTACCGATGCCACGCCAACATTGGCGATGATGGAATCAGTATCGTCCATCTCTGAGCCCGGCATAGACTCCTGGTTTTGTTCAGGCTGATCAGCATTGTCAGGCGATTGTGGATGTTGATGCCATGAGTATGGCTCATATTCCACCTCAGGAATATTGAAATGCCGACGCCAGTAATTGGCGAGATAAGTGGATTGCTCCCATGAGTCAATCCATCCATATCGGTCAGCACGAATGTGACCAACAATCCCGTTGAAGAAGAACTCCGGTTGACGGTGGTGATGTACCCCGTAACGGTCCACTTCCGTTACCATGAGGCTCCTGACTCCCGTTTGAGGAGATCGAACCTCCGTAAAAATGTGAGAATGGAGTGTTCGATTCTGTCGTTGGATTTCCGTCTGGAGTGGGTAAGCTTCTTCAACTGCCGGCTGTAGCTGAGCCTGATGGGAAGGGTCATCAGGTAGAGGCACAGATGAAGATGGTGCGGTATATCCGTACGGTGACGAAATGCCGCTATGAGTATTCTCGGAGAGGGATGGTAGAGACAGATCGTCGGTGATACTGCTGGGATGAGGTCTTTGACCGGAGGATGTAGCACCACTACTGGACTGATCTTGAAATCGAGAATGGCGACGTGGCATGCTCATCGGTGCTCGAGGTGAGGTGAAACCGGCGAGACAGGAATCACGCTTTGCCATGATAAAGCTGAAGCCAAAGGCTGAGGGAGATTACATGTGAAGGTAAAAGGAAGATGGTCATCATGGGGTGGAAGCAAAGAAGATTAAGAGGAGACGCAAAAGGCACAAGGACTTTTTTATCCGCCTTATGGAAGCATGTTGCGGTTTGGGAAGGCCTCATGGCAGCCCATGTGCATGATATAGGGCTGATAGTGAGACGTGAAATATCGAATATTGTTCGGAAGTAAGATGCCGAATTCTTGGCCCTCAGTCCAATGAAGGCGATATTCACGAAGAAGTTCAATAAGGCGATCTTCGTTGCGGAGAGCGAAAGTGTCTCCAGTCTCGTCTTGCCACCGGATGTCCATTGAAGACGGGGGAAGATAGCGATCCCACGTGTACCAGATGTGTTGGCTGATGCAATATAGAATATAGCAGGTTGTACACCGTGAATGATTCAAGACGGTGGGTGTTGAGCAAGACGTTGTAGGTGAACAGAGCACGGTCTTCAGTCCTTCTAAGGGTGGGCAGCACATCACAGGTAGTGGCGTCCATGACATCATCATGGATTTTACCTGGGGATGCATTTGATCGCAAAAAAGGTGATCGAAGGCCATTTGGCCATTTGGCCGTGAAAAAACCATTTGGCCGTGAAAAAACCATTTGGCCGTGAAAAACCATTTGGCCGTGAAAAATGACATCTCAAGCTCTTAAATTGAAACCTCGGAGCATTTTTAACTTGCAAGGCCAAAACCTTGGCTTCCTTAAGCTGTCGTTGTAGCAAACAGCTTTCAACAAGCATTGTTCATCTGCCCTGCAACCTCATGGGCTACAGATGGGCATGGAAGACTGTTCGCGCAAAATATGTGTGGCAAAAAGGTTATATATATATATGTATAATTTCTATTTGTATATGTACAATTTAAATCTATTTGTTTAACTATTCATCTTATATATATATATGTATCTTTCCAATATCTATACATGTGTAGGGTTTTACACACACACATATATATATATAAACGAATATACCGTACATATGACAATATGGTGTGCATGGTCCTCACCAAAAAACATGAAGCCAGCGAAACAGTTTGTTTTGGGAAACATGCGTTTGGGTTTCCGGTGTCCATTGCATACCTTCCGTGGACATCTTCATTGGTACCGTTTTTGTCGCCAATGCAGAATCAACATTTTTTTCGCAACAAATTGTTCATACGTTTGCGTTCGAAACATTGGATCGGTGAAAGTACAATCACGGACAATTGTTTTAAAATCGCTGATCTCGATTTTTCACGGACAACTGCGTTCACGCCTGCAAAGCACAGCAGAGTTGTTGTTTTCACAACCGCACGACCATGGTTGATGTCACATGGCTGGTCTCAAATTGGGAGATGGTATGAGATAGTCTTTTATGTTTTTTGATGTGTTTGAAACATTTCTTTGATGGTTCGATATAGACAAACCAAAAATTAGAATGAAACACCATGAAATGACCTTAAAAAAAGTCGAGTTTTCAAATGGATTGTGAAGCACAAACGTCCACGATGTTCAGGATGTTCAGCGTTTGTGTGAACTTCTACACGCCTGTACGTGTTTCTCAGCCATGGTCGAAAATCTTTCGACTTGATGCAGGCCACCCTGGGCCAGCTGCTGCAATGGTGAAACAAAGGTTTTTAAAGTGATCCCTAAACCCATATGGAGTCGTAAAATCTTAAAAGTGTATCCAACACAACTACCCGTTGATTTTTTGTTTCTCAGCCATATCGGACAGGTGGACCCTATCCTACTGCAGATGCGCGCTGAAATTGGGAGGCTGGGCAAATGAACTGATGGAACAACTATTTGCCAATAAATTTGTAGAACAGTGGAAAGAACATCACAAACAGTCCTGGAGTTTGAAGTAGCAACTGCATACCTTGCAGTATCTTGCAGTGGAAAACCATGTCCCTATCCAAAACGGTTGCAATCAAGATGGGTTTGTCGGATCACCCGCGCAGGTCGCCCTATACATGGCCAGCGGTCAATCAGCAGGCACGCTCTCAACCTGCCGTGCAGGGATGCTGGCATAGAGTGATGTTGGAGCAACATGTGAAACTAATTCGCATGAAATCCAAGTACACTTTTAGCGATTGATATATGTTCATTCAAGCACATTTGTGAAACAAATCCACGCTCGTCACTGTGGTAGCTGCAATGGCTTCATCGGAAGATGATGATGATGATCGCTTAGATGTATCCCCTGGTGCCCACCAGCGCTTTGTGACTGCTTTTGCGGCTAGCAAAGCCTTGAAAATTGTAACTTGGTTGTAATTCCTTGGACACCCCATGAATATCAAAGGTGTTGAATCTATATAAAGATATTTGACTGCAGTATTGAAATCATTTTTTCACTTAGGTCCCATTGTGTGTTGGGTCTACATCAGATTTGGGATCATAAGCCCAAAACCCAAAACCTGGCCTCTTCACGAATCTTCACGATCCTTCCTGCCATCTCCGTCGCCTAGGTTGGGATGACACTGGTCGTCGATCATAGTGGAAGGATTCACGATTCCCGTTCAAAGCCGTCGATCAAAGATATCGTTTGCAACAAAGAGGACACTGGGTGAACCCAAATAGAGTTTGTTGAAAGCAAACTGAAATTGATATAATCGACATGTTAACGATCCCTCAAGGTTTTGCTGGCTACCATTCGAGGTTCTGGGGGAAGCCCTCATCTTAGCAAAAAGGTTCTTCAACATGCGATTCTTGAATTCTATTCGCAACACCGATTGCTTCCAGAGGGATGTGTCGCGGAGATGGCATCTGTCCAAAAATGGGCTTTGAAGTGTGGCACTGCTATCAGACGGTTGGTTCCTTGCACTCAACGGTGCAAACAACTGTATGATGATATGTATTTATTTGTAAAACTATTACCAACATAATTACATACATATAACAATATATATATATCATATTATATATAATATATAGTATATATATTGTATTATATTTGTAAATATTATATATATATTGTTTTGTAAATATGATATTATATTTTATATACATACCATATAATATATATATAGTATGTATTAAATATTTTTAAATATTCGATATTAAATCTGTAAATAATATATACATATATTATATTATATTTGTTATATATATATATATTACCTGGGTGGCGTTGCGTTCGAAGGGACCTGTAAAACCATCAAATTGTTATACATGATGGATCGTTATTTACACAAGATAATCGGTGTAATACCACACACACACACATATGATCCCTGTACGAGTTCACCGGGTTAGGTTGGGGCCTATGAATTTCTAATAGAAAATGTAAATTGTATAAATTAGGGACCCACGAAAATCTAGCAACAGACATCAAACCAATTTGAGGCATCCTAGAAAAATGGCATTGTACAATAAGTGTTTTTTCGAAGCTATGTTTAGCATTTTCCTTAGAAAAAAACACCGCCCTACTTGAATTGCATAGTTTTGAAATTACGAAATCAAATATGTTAGAAACCACTTCAAGTTACTGCTCCCCTTTTTCTAGAGCCCAACATCCAACCCATCGAATTTCCATCCCATTTCGGTAAAATGTCATGGTTTCGAATCTCGTTATCCCCATATGCAAGTTGCCATAAATTGGGTATCCTTGTTTTCAGACGCACCCAAATACATCCAAATATTTTATTGTTGGTTGCAATGTGTTGTAATTCATCCCAGTTATTCCACAACATGGTTGATTTCCCACAAAAATTACCCTTAAATTATGATTAAACCCATTGCCTCTCTAGAGAATCAAGGACCACTAGAAAATCTATGCATGTACTCCCAGAGATGCTAACGTTATGCTTCTGCATTTGGGGCACCTAAACTACCCAGAAAATCAGGATTTACGACTCGAGTTGTTCGGTAGAATTGGGGGAACTTCGACAGCATCATTTCAGCAAATTCGAGCTTTTCGAAGGACAGAAAATTAATCAACCCTCCTTAGCGGGGTTAACCCCCCTGAAATCCTAGAGGAAACTCATACCGGTATCACGTATGTATATATAAATGTATATTTATAGACAGAGAACCCGGTTTGTGAAATCATATTTGTCTTGGGGCCATTTCCCGCATGACGCAAGGCTTCCAGGCTTCGTCGATTGCTGAAGCGGTCAAAGACTGCCAAGTCAAAACGCCTGACGGAGCTGAAGGAGGCGGCGCGGAAGGCTGGCTGGAATGTCATTCCAGGTTCCAAGGGAGACTCCAATGCTTCTAGGACACATTATTTTTGTTTGGTGTTCAGGTGCTTCAACTTCCAAAACGTTGAATCGCAAATTCCATGAAAACTCAATCCATGAAAGCTCAACTACATGTCATGAAGCCTCCAGCTTGACTTGTATCATCGACGTATCCATGATGTTACATTTCATGCAGGGGTCATTGCCATCGCTCAGGTTAAAACCGGGCTTGGTGACGCAGAGGGCCTGAGTGAACTCAGCGCTGCATCGTCCATGGGGCCTTCCAGCGATTTGTCGGTGGCATCACTGGGATCCAAGGATGAAAAGTTGGTGAGGGTTGCAAAGCAATTGCAGGCTTTGAAAGTAGCTCTGGAGACTACCAATCCCATGAAACCTCATGAAAATCCATTGCCAAAAGGTGATGTGGGCAAGGCCGATCGATCTCATGTGAGTGTCATTCCAACCCCGCAACAGAAGCCAATGTCGAAACTACCAACTGGGGAAAAGGTTTCAGACATCGTTCGCTTGTTGAAGAGCAAACCCACTGCAGCTGATTCGAACAGTGGAGATCCAGAACAGACTTCCAGGGATGTTTGGAAAACCCACGAATCGGAACAGGAGAACAAGTATGTACTGCCTTCTTATGTTTCTTGGATTATATATTTGTACACTGGTATAATGCAAGTTTTGATCGATCCACCAGCTAAAGAAAAACATAGCCTATGGTTATGTCATGTCTTCTCTGTTTGGGGTACCAAATCTTACATACAACATATTTGGGGAACCAAATCTTGCTTAGCATCCGTTCATTTATGATTCATGATCTTGGTATATCGAATTAAGTATATGAGTTCATCATGCCCAGGTTTTGGACTCTTTGGACAAGGTGAAGGGCAACTCTGCGCAACCATTCCCACTTCATGCGAAGTATGTCCCGGCGATCTTGGCTGCGAAAGCTGTGGATGGAAATTGTGAAAAGGATGACGACGATGGCGATGACAAAAAACCAACTAAGTCCAAACCCAAACCACGGAAAAAAAAGGCTTCTAAGTCATCGAAGCCTCATGGGGAATCCGATTGGCAATATGGTAAAATTCGAACTTTGTTCATACAGACCAAGAAAAAATCTGGGCTCCCCTACAAAAAGGCAGCCGAACTCTGGGATGAGAGCGATGAGAAAACCCAGCTCCTGTCGTTGGTTTCCCTAGGTGAACTGAAAAAACGGAGGTTTTTGGAGCGTGGTGCTACGGAAAACCCGTGGCTTAAAAAGCTGAAAGGCTCAGCCTGAATGGGCTAGGTAGCCATATTTCGTGTATGCCAATTTGAGATCACCTTGGCAAGGGGGATGCCGGCGCGATAGTGTGAAAAAAAAAACATTGGCCACTGTTTATACTCACCTCCATATCAACTGGTAGATGTAGTTACAGGATTTCTGGGTTTTCTTCAAGTATGACTTCACCATATTTCACCAACATTGGAGCTAGAAGCTGTGATTGAAATCAGTACTACATAGAACATTTTGGCTCAGAAACATCTAGTCTCTTTTTTTGGTTTTCACGTTACGTGTGGGTGATCCAATGGTTGTGAAAGACCTTCTGTCTTTCCGGGCTCCTCCAATCCTCATTTTGGTGTGCCTGCTAACGATCTGGAACACGAAGCTTCACCATGAGCCGGTTCTTTGGTGGCATGGTCAACTAAGGATCTAACAGAATTGAAGGATCTCATTTCTTCATGTGTTCAAATACTCTACAGTTGTGAATCAAGAATGATGGTTCACCCCAAACTTCTCACCCGCACTAAGGTTAGAGACTTTTGTGAGGTGTTCTCCGGCAAAGGTGAGATTACTCGAGCACTCCGGGCTGAGACTCGATCGAACTGGATTCCAGTAGTCGTGTTACTGGTCAAGAATATCTATAATATAGATATGGCTTATGTTTTGTGTGGAACCTATATAAGTATATATAATATATATATATATGTTATAAACAGACTATACCCGGTTCTTCCCATCAGTAGCTGGCCTGCGTGGTGCCTGCACCCAGTGATGAGGCCAACCTTAAGGGCTGTGCCATAGACATCGACGACAACCCCCGGGCTTTCGACTTAACGACCCCAAGCGGGTTCGCGCCCCTTGGCTTATTGAATTACCTGTGGATCAACGTATCTCAAAATTAATCAAAAATAATGGGTGTCCACATGGGTGTTCACAGAACCAGAACAGTTGATATGATTATGAAAGTGAATTCTTTATGGACATGACCCTGGATTCATAGTTACTTTTCGCAGTCCCCCAAACCCTGGATCGACATGTGCCGGCTAGGCTGACCCTGAACGAAGTCTTACGATGCAAACCCGGGAGTCTTCTGGTCTTAGCTCCGGTGTGCACTTCAATGTCTGCTATGTGGTTTGGCCTAACATTGCATCACATCTTTTTGTTTTTTCCACCAAAAAATAATTCTCCCAAGAATTGAACCGAAATGTCCACTATTGTTTTTCAGTTGTGAGTTTACTTTTAGGCCAACAACTTTTATCTATCTACTATCCATCTATCGTTTCCCGGAAAACTATTTCCGTATCAGCACAACGTTTTGGTGACAGCGGGTGTGAAACTGAACCCTTTTGTTCTTGGTACACTTAAATGTCTGCAGGAGCCGGCACACTTCGGGGAGATCCTATTTGAAGCCCTATGGCAACACCAACTACGAGTTTGTGGAGCTAGGCAACACGCTGGCTTGCAGGTGCATTCTCCTGATCCTGGTGGCGCACTGGCGTGGACTACGTTGGTTGCTGGAGCAGCCGGATGGCTCATTTTTGCAGTACTTGCCAAGGTTCCAATGGTTACTTCAAGTGATCAAGGCCACTATGATGTTCATTGCTATGGGAACTACTATACCATCATATTCTGTACACGGGTATGATATAAATGATATAATTAAATATCTATGTCTATATGCAGTATTGTGTGAATAAGTACACATTTTCTCGTGGAAAACATGCCATGGTCAATCCTATCAGAATTTCCCAGGGATAAAGTAACAACTCTGTGGGTGCGCATTACTCCGTGCAAAACTGATTTGTATAAATATGTATTGATACTCAGCCTCCATCAGGCAACCATCCAATCTTAATGGCCCGTAGCAGTATATATTTGCCTTGCAGGTCTATGTGGCCTACTTTTACATGGGAAAGTTCAAGGGCGAAACGCCAAAGCGCCACCGTGTGTGGAGCAATGACCACATGTTCTTGTCCGAGATTGTCAACCGGGCTGGATACATGAGCAGGCAAGAACAGCAGGCTTGCCATGTGAAAACAACCCGTAAGTACATCGACAAGAAAGGCGTTTCAAGATGTGTGGGCATCAAGGATGTCTTGAAGAAGAGCCAGTAACTCGACCCACATTGTTTGGGGTGCATCGTTCCCCTGGTTTCAATTTATCCTCTTTATTCGATAGTTAGATACCCTGCAGGACCCTATGTTTGAAAGACACTTCAATCTGATTTAATGTTTGGGCTTGGTGTGATGCGACATATACTGAGTTGCAGTAGAGCCCCATGCGCTTAAGTAACACGATCATTTCCAATAGGTGTTGATTTCATGAGCTGGCTTCGATCCATGAAATCAAGAGCCCCATATTTTCCGATGAAACAAAGTTATATAAAAAGCATGAACCGTATATATCTGGATCTTATATATGCTTGCAAACGGAACCACTTCCCGGATCAACCAGGGGGCGCCTTGGCATAGACAGATCATAGAATTGCATCCTCGGCGTACCTGAGGCATTACACCCGCGAATTTGGGGAGTTCATTGCTGAGAAGGTACAAGCTCACACTAATGTGCCCTGTCAAACAAGGGGGGACGGTATATGGGATAATCCTATTCATATTCGATTCCATGTGTATGTCTCCAATACGAAATATTTTTGAACTTATTTCTCACAACAAGTAAGGAACCAATGGGTGTGTACATATATATATATACATACGTACATACATACATGCATACATGTATAGTTTGACTTTATTTAGTGTTTCTTTATAGCGGTTGCAGAGGTGTGAATCATTGTGGGGCTGGATGGTTCCCTATTTGGATTCAAGATTCTTCAGAATTTCACGGGATAGCTGCCAGCCATTTCCCCCGTATGTACAAACAGAGAAACTAAAAATGTGAAAATAACAATCATCAGAACTCCCCGGCAAGCAGGGGTTGCAATTGTGCAACTAACAAGGGTAATAAAGATGTTGATATGATGTGAGGTGCCTCTCCCAGAAGCCCCTCTTCAAGATCTTCCAAATGGCCTTTCTGATTTGGAGCTCTTCAAGAAATACTGCTTACCGCTTCACAAGACCGACCGGTGGGATGAGGCGAGCCCAACAAAAAGTGTGCATTCATCTTAAGATGGGGATACCTTCAATGGTCTTCAGATAGATTTGTATCATGGGTATTTCGATTTGAGTACGCTGATCCAATGAATTCACATCATTATTTGGGGGTTTCGTGTTGTCCACATCCAACATCAAACCCTTCGGCCCATCTTGGCGGTCCAGGCCAAGATGACAGAAGTCCTGGCATACTTGGGCTCCTGCAAGCACGTCAACGTGCCAGGGAACTGGGTACCCTGGCTTTATATATACTTAGTCGGTCTTCATGACATGCATCAAGCATCATACGTTTATCTATCTGACTAGTTGCACTTAACCTGGGACCTTTTAATATTCGAAACCCATACATAAGTACAGTGGGGAAAAATGAGGAACATAACACTGGGGCCCTCATCTAAGGAACAAGTTCTCGTGGACCTCGGTTTGCATTAGATGGCCGAATCTTTACCGACCTATGCCAGGTCGGCCAAATTCAGAGGGCACAACGCCATTTCACGGCAAATCTGATGATTTCTCATCAGGATATCGAAAAAGAGCAGCTGGTTTTTGTCGTATGTGAAAATCTCATGAAAAAACAAAGGTAGCAAATTGGTTCAGGAGACATGAAAAAATAAACCGTGAAAAAGCGTGCATTTGGCCGTGAAAAACCGTTGATTGGCCATGAAAAACGTGAAATTCACACTTTGATTTTTTGATCATTTTTTGGCATCTTTTGGAAGTTTTTTCATGTTTTGCTCAGATGTTGATCTTTCGAGTTTGAATTTCACAATATTTCACACATGTTTGAACCCTCTGAATTTCACAATGAATTTCCACTTGGCGTTTCGTGATTTCATTGCCTCTGAACCTATACCTTTGGTTTCCAGCTGCCTGGATAGCTGTTAACGTTTGAAATCCCCTCGCCTGAACCTGTGCGTGTCCATGGGGAAGAGGGGTGCCAGTGGTGATGCCCAGAAGCTGAAGCAGCGACTGTTACCAGTCCTGCTGGTGTCGGGGCTGCTGCTTCTACGGAGGCAACCGAAGTCGAGATGCCACCTCCAAAGGTACCTCGAAAAGACAAAAAGCAAAAGAAGGAAAAGAAGGAGAAGAAGGAACAGTCAGGTTCGAAAGAGCCAGCGACTGAAAAGAATGATGAGCCAGAGCTCACTGAGGAGGATCTCGAAGCTGCTGTGGAAGCGGCCATGGACGCTGCCGTTGCAGCTGGTGATGTTGCTGCTACGGAGGAGCCGAAGAAACTCAAGAGGCTTCGACATGTTGAGTGTGAGCCAGAAGTTCGCCCGAAGGCTAAGGCGAAGGCCATGGCCAAGGAGAAGAAACCGGATCCTCAAGAGCCACCCTTTGACATTACCTGGGAGAACCACAGCCTTTTGATGAAACACTTTCAGATCAGTGAGGACGAGGCCACTTCTTGCCTTCTTCAGGTGATCGGCCCGGATGACAGGTACAAGAAATTCTGGGGGAAGTTCAGCGTCGATGCCAAGGATTCCAAGGACAAGGGCAAGGAGACTTCAGAGCCTACGGCCAAGACCAAGGACGCTGTTGCTGCTCAATCTGATGATGATGGGACGGAGTTCTATGGAGGGGGTCCAATGATCGACAATGGTGACGATCATGATGATGATGTCGATGGGGACACAGCTTCGACTTCTTCGGGTGGCACACCACCTCGCCCACCACCACCTCCAGCTGCAGCTCCAGTTGAGACTGTCAGCTCCGAGCCAGTGATTGACCAGATGGAGACTCAGCCCATGGAAGTTCCTGAGCCTGTCATCCAACACATTCCTTCGAAGCCGGATGATGCTGAAGTCGCACGACGTGCCTTTTGCCGAGAAGGTGAAATCTGCACCCACGCCGGCCAAAGCTTTGGAGAAACAGGCGCTGGTGTGAGAGCACTTTTTGTGATAGGTCCGTAACACGGAAGTGTTTCATCTAAACTGAAACCACGGGAACTTTTGTTTTTGGGATGTGTCCATAACAGGGAAGTTTCCTTCATGAGTTCTATTAGTTGGATGACACTTTGAGGAAATATTGATAAGAGTTTAAAAATCGTGTTTATGTCCTAATGATTTTTTGAAGACATTAATTGACTCTCCCTTATATATTTTGTGTAGTGAGAATCTTCAAGAAATACATGTGGGGATGGTACTTCTATTTTCCACTGCTCACATTTCATGAGCCCTGACTAGGCTGACTGCCCTAGCAAGGTCCCGGTGAACAGTGGGCCTCCACGGCGACTGCTGTCGCTTGTTTCGAAAGGAAAGAGTTAAACTTTTGATGACCAAAACCTCACAAAAATTGGTATACGTGCTATGTGGTTGTCCCTTTCTAAAACAAACATGTCATATATATATATATACAAATATAATATCGAACTGTCAGGTCTTGCACAACACTGTCGCTGGGCCAGCACGATCTCTCCCGTCAAGCTTCCGTCATGAATCACGATGCTGAGAAAGCTGAGACGCTTTCCACGTGTCCTGACTAACATGTTTACGTTTTCTCCTGATGTTTAATCATGTTTAAACTAGTTTTTGAAGTTTTGTTTTTGTACTTTTTCTTGGAAATATATTTTTGGTTTCACAGGTTGGGCCCTTCAGCTTCGCAGACAGCGGGGGATGATGACAAAGTCGCTGAGATTGTGAAAGCATTGAGCTTGCTTTCTGTGACGATGAAGCAACCGTGGTGCAGGGATTTGATGACTGAGCTTGGCTTCTGCCTCCCTGGACAAGTACCTGAAGATCAAGAGTTGAATGATGCCAAGGATGGCAAACCTTCTGGATCGAGACCTTCTGGATCCACACCTGTCTCTCCTGCACATGTACCTGCACCCAAGCCTGCGCCCACGCCCACTCCGCCCACACCGCCTGAAGAGACACCTTCGGCACCTCCTGCAGCCACATCCCCTGAAGTTCCGGAGCCAACGACTGGAGCTGAGAAGCCTGAAGATCCTGGAGCTGGGGCTGTTGTCATCAACAGCTCTACTCACAGAGCAGCCCATGCTCGCTTGCAGAGAAGGATGCACTCTCTTGGTGAAGCTGAGTGCCCAAACATGGCGAAGCTTTGGGCTGGCAGCAGAAAGGACTTTCGATGTTTTTGGTTTGAAAAAATATGTTAAAACAGATTTCCATTCATTGTGATTCACACACTTTTTCATGATTTCCACTTCCAGGACAAGCAAGAGCTTCTGGCGAAGTGGGTTCAAAATGGAGAAAACCTGGCTGCAGTGGAGTGTGCTTTGCAGCTGCAGCGTAAGAAGGAGGGAGAGTTGGAACATGGCCGAGAGTTGCTCACTGTGAGTGAGATGAAAGCCAAAGGATTCAGTACGAGCATTGGAACACATTCGGAAATGATCAGGATTTTTTCTTTCCCCAATGTGTGCCGTACCTTGTTGTTGAAACAATGTTTTTGTTTTTGGGGGATTTAGTCAATGTTTTTAACGTCATCATTTTCACAAATTTTCGATTCAGGGCGAAGATCGAAGCGATCGTCAAGAAACCTGGTCATCCTGACCCAGACGCCCCACATGATGTTGCCAGCACTCGCTGGTGGTGCAATGTTGGAGGGAAATACACAGGGCGCGAAGTTGCATCTGTGACCATGAGGGCATCCACCACTGTGGCGGCCACTGCGGATGCTCTCACTTCTATGTTGGGTGGATCAGAAGGCTGTGCATCTGGAAGTGAGATGCTGTCCTTGACCAATGGGAATAGTGGCTCGGAAGCCACCTCGGGTGCAACACCTGCGCCATCGATGGAGGCATTGGTGGGATTGATTTCCGCCAAGGCCAAAGCCAAGTCGAAGGCCAAAGCCAAGGCCAAGGCGAAAGCCAATCCCAGTCATGCAGCTGCAACGACGCCAGCAGAAGCCCGAGAGCAATTTCGCACTTGGGCAATTTAGATTTCACTGTTTTTTTTTAGGGGGTTACAAAATTAATCTTGAAATTTCATGTTTCAAAGACATGAAGACCAAAAGCATTTTTTGAAATCGGAAACACAACCCAATGACAGTTTTTTGTGAGGCAAGGACATCAAGAAGGAGCACGCTTCGTGCACCAACGTTGCCATGGACCTTCCACCAGGACATGCGCTGAGGACTGATCTTGCGAACGCAAAGGCCAAGCTGGAGGAGATGCTGGAAGAGTTTCTTTTCAGCATCAAATCAAACACCTTAAGGTTTGAAAAACTTAAACGAACTTTGTACCATAAATATAAATACATATTTATATATGTATATATATTTACATATATATATTTACATATATACAAATATGTATTTACATATATATATATACATATACAATATATATGTATATATATATACATTTATATAAACATATATATATATTTTTACATATATATATACACATATTTCTATATATATATATATAGCCCCTGTGAATTATAAACACCAAAACCTATAACTACCTTTTAGGTTTGGAGCTTGCTACATTCATCAGCCAAATCCAAGGCTGCGTACCATGCCCGATGAGGAGATCGCAGACTATGCCGAGACTTGTGCCCAGAAGGTAGGAGACCCATCGTAAACCCCGATATCGATATGTTGAAATCTTTAATGGTTCATTCCCATCAGTGTTTTTCAAAACGAACTATTCCCAAACAAAAAATCATGTCATCGCTTCCCTGCTTCAGGTGCTGGATTCCCGCATGTTGCGGGCGCAGGCCTCTGCAGTGGCCAAAGAATTTCGAAAGGCTGAAGCGGCAGAGTAGATAGCCTCGATCACATGCGGCTGACAGGCTCCGATTTTGAGATACCTGACCCTTCGTGACATCTGGGTCGCTCCCATTAGGTTGCCAGGGGAGACATTGTCAATAGGATATGGGTGAAATGAAAATAGGTATCCAATATCCATCAAAAAAATATTCAAATATCATTCCATAAAATGTTCAATCTTTGTCTTGGAATACCCTATTAGTATTTCATAGTGTTTCAAGTCCTGCAGGCAATGTGCTGGCATTTTCTTGGATAATGAAAGATGGATGGCTGCTGATAGCCTACCATGCGATGGCGCAATTGGGATTCCAAAACCATAGACCATGGCTTCAACAGCCGTGAATGGTGATGTCGCTGGCCCGCTGGGAAGAAAAAAATCAGGTTCTTGGAGCTCCCATGGAAACGGAATCCACCACCCATATTGTATTCCCCTTGGATTGGTTGTGAATCTTCGCAACTTTGACCAATCGACCACTGCATTGACATGATTTCGAGGAAACAAACTTTCATGGGATACATCCATGCCCGCGCAGGTGAGCTATTTCCTCAAGCACAGTCGCTGCTGCGAGACCAGCTCGATGTAGCGTTTCTTGGTAAGGATCCTGATGGGCACAACAACCATCCAATCTTTGTATATTATATATATATATATATTTATTTATCTGAGTGGCGTTGCATTCGAAAGGATCTGTAAAAACATCAAATTGCTATACATGATGGATCGTTATTTACACAAGATAATCGGTGTAAAACCACACACCACATATGATCCCTGTACGAGTTCACCGGGTTAGGTTGGGGCCTATGAATTTCTAATAGAAAATGTAGATTGTATAAATTAGGGACCCACGAAAATCTAGCAACAGGCATCAAACCAATTTGAGGTATCCTAGAAAAATGGCAACGTACAATAAGTGCATTTTCGAAGCTATGTCTAGAATTTCCTTAGAAAAACACCGCCCTACTTGAATTGCATAGTTTTGAAATTACGAAATCAAATATGTGAGAAAGTTACTGCTCCCCTTTTTCTAGAGCCCAACATCCAACCCATCGAATTTCCATCCCATTTCGACAAAAATTGGGTACCCCCGAATATGTCATGGTTTCGAATCTCGTTATCCCCATTCAAATTGCCATAAATTGGGTAATTATCCCTGTTTTCAGACGCACCCAAATACATCCAAACATCATATTGTTGGTTGTAATATGTTGTAATTCATTCATGCATGTACTAGAAAACAAAATGACCTGCCAGTGCCTCGAGAAAATCAAGGACCACGAGAAAATCTATGCACGTATTCCCAGAGATGCTAAAATTATGCTTGTGGATTTGGGGCACCTAAACTACCCAGAGATCAAGATCTTACGACTCAGAGGTTTCCAAAATTGTTCTGTAGAAAATTGGGGGTACTTCGGAAGCATCATTTCAGCAAATTCGAGCTTTTCGAGTGACAGAAAATCAACCCTCCTTAGGGGGTTAGCCCCCCTGAAATCCTAGAGGAAACTCATACCGGTGTCAACAAACCATCTAGATCGAGTTCAAGTGTTCCAACATGTTACAACTCAAATGTCATTTTAAACCTCGGCTTACCGCACAGGATTGCTCGCAGCATCGGGGCTGGCTACACCACTGTGCGCCACGCCAGAGAGATTGCGGAGGTATATGGTTCTGATTTGTTTTCGTGTCTTGACCATTTGATCCACCAACCCCAGGACGTGTTGAAGTTGATCTAAAATATCACCAAATATGATGGGTGAGTTAACCTTAAGATCAAGGGGGGGCCATCTCTTGCCCAACATCATCAAGATGCCATCTCTTGGCCAACATCATTACTTTAAGGTCTACAGCCGAACGAGGTCTTCATGAACGTGCGTTGAAGGCTGGTCAATCACTACCATGTGAGGTATCTTTTCGCTCTATCCCTGTGAAAAAGAGTGTGGATGACAACGACCTGGAAATGGTTGACTGGCCGTTCCTTTTGCCTCACAATTTCGTGGCTTGGATAACATGGTACAAATCATGTTTGAGATAAGTACTCTTGGGTGTGTTTGAAGTTGTTAGTACCCCGAAAGATCCCTTAATCCAGTCGCCCGGGTTGTGCTTTCCTAGGCCAAAGCGCTTGTGAGTGAGGGTCATCTCGATTGCCTGATCAACGATTTCACTGCTCTGACTGCTTATTGGCAAGGGATGGCTTCGGATTTCCCTAGCCACCCTGTGGCAAGTGATAGGAGATGCTGGAACACATCGCTTGGGTGCACATTGTATTGCCACCCAAATGAATTGATATAGATTGTATTTTGTCATTTTGGTTCTACAGCCAAGATTTTCTTCAACCAAAATGTAAACAATCTTAGGTGATGAAATTGAGGTTCTCAATGACAGCTGGCTTTTCATCATATGGACAAGCGACCATTGCCCCTATAGAACGAACAGTGTTTGCAGTCGGTGGCCCATAGCGGTGTTTCCCAAGTCTCTCTACTACATGAACCCCGATGGCATTAATCTAACTGTTCAAGCGGCCACAGCTGAAATCGTGGAGTCTTTTAACAAGCTGAGCACCGATGGCATCAAACTTCGCACATTTCCATCCATGGGAAATGAACTCGTACTTTGGAAAGAATTCAGCAATGCTTTCAAAAAAGGTTTGTTATATTTACCCTCGAAAAAAAAGATATCAACCATTTTCACCAAATCAGGTAGGTCGACTCAAGCTATTCGTCATGGGATTTCGTGGAGATTGGAAAAGTTATGTCCAGGTGTTCAACTTGGTCAGGCATCCTGGTACAGATGAGGTTCGGTGAACAATGAGAAAAATGTTCAAACCCCCAAGTTTCCAATATGTTACAACTTTATTGGGAGTAACACGATCCCCTGAAGGTTTGCTACTTATGCAAAGCCACCAAAGGTGCCTCTGACATGAGCATGTGTTTCACTGACATTTCCCCTGGAGCTGCATGGATGGGGACATTTCTCCAAGAAAACCCTTGGGAGACAGTACCCCATTACACCCGACTGATCGGGTTCGACCTGCAAATGGTTGTACCGGACCTGCTGCATACTTTCAACCTCGGGATCGGACGAGACCTTGCTGGCTCCATACTCAAAGTCATTTTACAGGATGATCGGGTGTTTGCTGGGGACACTATCCAATCGAGATTTGAAAATGCAACAGAATCCTTGAGAAGATTCGCAAAGGCTGGAAAACATATTCTCAAGCTCAAGAAGCTATCCAAATCGAAAATATGGTGGGAAACAAAAAAGTATCCCGAGCTGAAGAGTAGTGGCTCAGACTGCCATATCGTATGCACATGGCTAGAAGATATTCTTCAACCGCACCAAAATGTTTATGGCGACTTCATGACACTACTTTGGACTTCCAATCGGTGCTTGAAGCTGCTATACAGCGCAGATTGGTTCTTGAAACCGAATGAAAAGCGCACTGTTGAAACCTTGAGTAGGATTTTCACATCAACCTACTTGATGCTTGCTCACAATTCTCTTCAAAACAACGAACTTCTTTGGAGAGTGCGACCCAAATTGCACATGTACTGGCACCTGAGCTTGTGGCGTAGACATGTGAACCCATCGAAGTACAGCTGTTGGATGGATGAGGACTGGCTTCGTAAGATCAGCAAGGTGATGCAGTTGACTTCAGTCAAAACTTCACAAAAAAGGGTGCTTCAGCGATGGTTGATGGCCGTGCCAATGAATTTGGCAAAAATCAGAAACAGCTTGAATTCGTGACAAATTCTAGCCTGGCAAAAAAACTGATTGTCCCCATGCACCATGGGGTCAGGCCGCAGTGCGGGATACGGTGAATTTCGGGTCATTTTGGGATCTATTGGTCGACTTTGTATTTCTATGATTTTCTATGTATCAACAATTGATATCTTTTCAACCCACCAGTGTTGTATGCTCAACTGTTCCTGGCAACTTTGTTTTTTTGAATGTATCAAACATGCGGAGATTCAACGGTCGAGCCATGATTGAGGTACGGCGTGGTAATATCAGGCATCAACCATATATCGATATTTGCATGTTACCTGTAGGCCAGGTAACATGTATAGAAATATCAGATAGTAAATGCTATAGACTTTCAATACATATTGGCCCAAGTCTCCAGTTTGTGATGAACATCACACCGTGAAAACGTGCTTTTGTGACAAAAAACATTTCCTTGAGAAACTGTTTTGGCATGAGGATGGCAGCAGTGAAAAACATAAATTGTTGATGCTTGGGCATTATGGAATGTCTATACGGCATACATCCACCTCTGACACCAGAAGCGCTTACCATTTTCTGGATCGTGTGGTCAATATGGTTTTTGACCTATGGTAATCAAAAACGTGAAAACGTGAAAACGGTGAAAATTCACACACACCCGCCCGTGAAAACCCATTTGGCCGTGAAAAACGCATTTGGCCGTGAAAATATCATTTGGATACCTTGTCACCCAAAAGGTGATCGATGGCGGTTTGGCTTCCAAAAAGGTGATCGAATGAACCTCCAGGTATTCATAAGTGGACGTACAGGTTCGAGGTCCACAATGACTAGGACTTTCCGAAGACGAGGAGCAGGAGGTGTCGCAGGCCATGGATCATATTGTTGACTGCGTTGTTGTGGGTGGCGGCTTTGCCACATGGGATCGTCTCGTGAACGAGAACGTTCAGGAGCAAAACGTACGGAATTAGATGAGTGAGCCCTATTTGCTGAGGAACAACTAAAAGTGGCAGCACGAGACGGCAGCCAGGCAATGGAGACAGAAAAGGAGAAAAGAAAAGAAACCAAAAGGGAAAAGGAAAAGGACATAACCCTATCCCACTGGACAACAGGCAGTTGCCCACTTTTTCCGCATTGATGGGACTGTAATATTGGTTAGTCTTCCGCCTCTGGTTCGTGAGGTGGGTTAACGCGACCGTGTTGGTCCGTTTGTTTCAAGATTCCCCATCTCAGTTTACACACTTGAGGATCGCGGTGAAGTCTGGCTCCGATCGT